TAAAAGCCCTGTGCATTGACTTGGAATCGAATAACGAAACAGAGAGTCGGAGGTTGTACATGTACGACTCGTTTTGTAAATGGCAAATTGCAAAATGTATCGTACACATGTACCGGGTGAAAATGGCGGCGCGTGCTCTTTATCACCCGGTACAAACGTACCGTTCGTTCCAGAGCTCTGGAAATTAAAGTGTCGTACAGTCATCACAGTTTTCGGAGCAGTGATGGCTAGACAACTTTTCTCCCAACAAAACTGCATTTTTCTCTTCCCAAGAAATATAGTTGGGTCGAAATTTTGTTTGGTATGTTGATGACATCTGTTTTGACCGTCTCGCACACCAACACCCAGTTTTCTCTCGGCTTTTTCAGAATTCTCGATGTGGTTACAGCTTCGGGACAGCGTGTTCGTGACCTCCTGCCACTGCTGAAAATGCACTCTGAAGTTTTAGAGTGCAAAATGTCTGAGTGCAGTTACACACACAAATTTCGCGGATCCGAGAGTGCGAATTGCTGAGTACTTCTGCACTCAGAACACCTCTGAGAGTGACTTAATCAGAGTGAGTGCAACTTCAAACAATTTACTTCCTACTATATGTGGTTAAGGAACGACAGGGAACAATGTTCTGGGGGTCAGAAACGAGGCGGAGCCGAATTTGTGGTCCGTTTCGTCGTATCTCAACTTTTGAAATTTCGTGACGAAAAATTGTGGTCCAAAAGGTAAGGCAAGGGAATCCCAGTACTAATTTTGAACGTAGATTCCGAATATGAACTTAGTTTTCTCGTATTACACTTAGTTGTATACGAACTCGAAACCAGTTTTTGCGACACTCTGGAGACGTCACTTAGGAAAGGGCACTCTCAACTTTCACACTCTAGCGGACCGAAGATTTCAGAGTTCACATACGCACTCTAAAAATTTGTGAGTGCAAACCTGTGCACTCACAAATTTTTGGAGTGTCATGGTCAGAGTGCAAGAGCCACTCAGAAATTCTCTGAGTGGCACTCTTAACTCTCCCCTACACTCACAATTGTACAGAGCACTCAGAATATTGAGAGTGTCACTTAGAATTTTCAGAGTGTCACTCTCAAAATTCTGAGTGCATTTTCAGCAGTGGCCCGTATTTGACTCGGCCGGCTTTTCCAAGATCCCACCGCCAGTCATGAAGACCATCAAGCCCCTGAAGCACTGAGCGGTTGGATGATCCCACGCCCCGAGCCCGAGCCGCCCCGCCCAGCCACCATGACTTGCAGCGCCACTGGGCCACGAACATCGGCCAGTTCCTACTTTTAACATGATAGTATACCTAATTTTTTAATATTCCACTGGTCAAACAACGGTGGATAATAGCACTTCTGTATGGGTGCTAAAAGATTTTAACTTTAAACTGTGTGTAAAGTTACCAAAATACCCTGTTGGTGGTGCTAAATTTTGGTGCCTTTGGCAGCTTTAACCCATAAAAATAATCATCTAGCGCTTTTATTCTAGCACACTCTAAATCTGGAGGAACTGTTGTTGTCCATAGAAAGTTCACATCGCATCGAGATGCAAACAACGTGCCCTAGCAAGCACAAAACAAATTCCATAAGAACGAGCAGATTAATAATGTAGCAAATTCATTTGGTACACCTTGCAACTTGTTATTATTATGCCTACGTTCAATTCTGCATATGAAGTTAAGATGTGCACAAAACGCATCGTTCTAAAAACAGGACCTCTTAGATTTAGATTGCATTGATAGGGTATTTCCACATCTCCTCGTAAATGATCATTAATGTCCGCACCGGTGAAAATTTACGCGCATCAATTTATTCACTCAAAAAACCAAAACAACCACGCTCGTTTTTAAAATAAAATTTCAAAAATTTCAAATAAAAGTACCCCTGTCACTCCTTTGCTTTACACCGCATTTTTATACGATTGTTGAAATAAATTTAAGCGTAGTTAAGGAGAAATGCGCATGTACTTCCACATTAATCGTTTGCAGTCCATACGAAACAGAATAAGACAAAACTGAAAAGGAGAAAGGGACGATTGTCACGCCCAGAACACGGTCCCTGGTCAACCACTGCATTGGCGTAGAGTAGCGGGAATAGCTCCACTCCCCTTCCTCGTCTGCGGCTGAGCCCGCCTCGCACCGGAAAAGAGGGGAAAAAGAAGGGGGGGGGGGGGGCTCTGGCTGGACATTCATTCGACAATCTTGACCAATTGGTTGCCTAACCCCCCGGGGGGCTCGCACCTGTTACGCGAATCTCCCAATGAGCCACCGCCTGCCTACAGCTTGATTGGCGCCAGATTCTTCCGTCCATTTTCCTTCCCCTCCCTGCGCCAGCCCCGTCTCGCTCACACCCGCACCGCATGGTGCCATGACTTAGCACGAGGCTGGAGGAGCAACTTTACCTCCTTCTCCCTCATCCCGACAAACTCGGTCTGTCTCTCTCGCACTCACACACCCGCGTTCCCGGACCCGGGCAGAGCTCCCGCGCGGCCCTTGCAATCCACCTCGTCATGTTCCAATGTTGTGTTCCCCTCCCTTCCCGGCCCTCTTGCCGCCCAAAACAGTTTCTCCTGTGTGGGCGGGTGTTTGCCACCTGGCTGGCTGCGCCCTGGGCCACGGCCCCCTCCTCTCCCTTTCCTTTCAGCGTGCCCCGCCTGCTCCTGTCATCCCCAGGCAGCCGAGGCAATGTGTGCACGCACCGATTGAGACGGCGTGCGGGCGATGACGTCACAAACTTTTGTCATCCGATAGGAACAGTAGGGTAATATCGTCGCACCGCTAACACTCCCCCCCCCCCCTATTCTTCTCGACCCAACCCTCTTCTCGATGATACTTGTTATTCTATTTGGGACATTCGTACACACTGCTGCAAACCTTTCAATGAGGTGTCGTGATAGGAATGAGTAAAAGCAGTTGCGCCTCCACACTAAATGGCGAGGGACAATTTTTGTACGGGTACAAATTGTACAGGCTAGGTAGAAATACTGCATATTTTATGTAAACGTATATAAATGTACAAATTTGGATCTGGTTTAGTTGTACCCCAGGGACACAACTAGCGTACGTCCGCCTACATATAAAAAGGAAGGTGAATTATAACTTAAATAGAGTGAGAAAATTATCTTCAAACTCAATCTGGACGGACTTTTACTGGCCAGAAAAATGATGCTGTTTCGGTTGCTGGATTCAAATCTGCAACCGCTTGAGATGTGCATAAAAACGCGTCTTTCTATGCACAATAAAAGTCCCTTCAGATTGAGTGGGTTTTGCTCTCAGGAGAGCGACATTTGTTGTGTCACTAATTTTGCTCTCTTGAGAGCAGGATGGATGTCTGTACTGGTAAAACAAGTGTTTAATGTCGTACGTCAATTAGTGTTTAAGTTTAAGTAAGCATTTTCTCAACACATTGTGGTGTCTAAATAGGTTAAACGTCAATAATTGGTGTTTAAACTAACGACACTTCCGAAAAGTATAGCAGCTACACACCATACACTGAAAATGCAAGTGTGTGAATGTCGCTCACCTGCAGGTGAGCGACATTCTATTCGTACACTTAGGGGGTAAAGGTGTGAATTTTTCCTAGAAAATTCACACGTTTGAGGAACTTCTAAGAGCGTCGGCAAACCGCGAAGTAGCAGTGGTGGTGTAGGAATTTTAACAGCGATAATATTTCATAATATTACGATAATGCTGATTATAAATTTCCCAAGGCCTTCCCTCCCGTTCTGGGCTAAATCTGCGGCACATTGAATCCCGGGCCGCGCTGGTTCGCCCCTTATGACGCCAGCGCCGGGCCCCGCCTGCTCTCACTAATCTCCCTGTCAGGAACGTCACAGCCCCAACCCCTCCCCCTCCCCTACCCCAACTCAGGTCCACCGCGAAAAACACAACCATTACCGACCTGTCGTCATAGGCGAGGGAACCGACCGCGAGGACCGGGAACAGGCCGTTGCCGGAGCAGGTCAGAGGAAAGGCATTTGAAGCGTTCTATTGTGAGAGAAAAACAACTAACTATCATGATCGAAAATATAAAACTAGAGCAGCGACATCATTTCAGGGTGAGGTGCGAGATGCGTATTGAAAGAATTCTTTTTCCATTCATAGAACGCCATCCTTGTAGGTGCTGTAGGGAAAACGGGCCATATACGCGCATTACAAAAAAACACCCACTTCTTTGCAGGTCTCTGCGACACGGCACGTTGTAAGCCGGTCGGCTTTGTGTGCCCACCCATCCCCGTCCCGCGTCCCTCCGACACGACAGTGTGGCCCCCGGCAGGTAGGCCTACCGCCGCGGCGCAGGTCATTGTTTGTCCCGACCAGCCCTGCGCGCCCCGGGCCCCACCACCAGGGCGCACCAGGGCGGGCAGAGCCGCAAGCAGCGCCACAGGCAGGCAGGGCCGCAGGCAGGGCCACCCCGCATCGCTGCGATAGAAATTAGCACACAGCAGCGTGGCCTGGCCTGCACCCCCAAACCCTGCTCGCGCCGCCACGCCCGGCAGAGTGACAGGCTGGCATTGTGACGGGCTTATAGCGGCAGGGGCCGAGCAGGCCCAACAGGATGTAGGTGTCCTACAGGACAGCGGGGTGCGGTCCGGCCTGGCAGGAGGCGTGGTGAGGGCCCGACGGTCGGCGAGCATGTAATTTGTTCCCGTTGCAAGAAATCTACGCGGTGCACATCCTGAATGCGCACTCAGGCGCTTTACGACTAACACGTTGCCTGGCTTCAAATCCAGGCGACCTCATTCAAATTCGAATACCACTACACAAACCGTTATGCATTTTACTGTGCATAATGCAGAATTTTATACAGACATAAGTATGCAGAAATTTTATGCATAACTCGCATAATTTTGTACAATTTGTGCATAATTATGCACGAACTAAACATAGAGTTATGCATAAAATTGTGCATAAGGATTTATTGTGTGATACCCCGCAATGCAGCAGCTTGGTCTGTTTTAAGCATAAAGGCTATGTTCACATTAGACCTGGCGTAAAATAATGTCATGCAACGTAAAACATTATTTATTGTTTTCAGCTACCGACCCACGTGATGCTGACCACTTCCCATCCCCTCTCCGCTTTCCTCGCTCTGTCTCGTTCCCTTTTTTCTCTCAATAAAATATAATCGTCATGTGTTAACGCGGATCGGCGGCAAGGCACTTCAGCCTTGGGCCATCAGCGACAGCGATGGAAATCCCTGCCCCACCCCCTCCTGTTTTCCCACCGCCCAGCACAGGTATTTCCACGTTGATTGCAAAGCCGCGTAAAGTGCGGCGGGAAAATTAAATTGGATGCCTAGGGTGGGCGTCGGAGGGCGATATTCGCGAGTCCGAGTGATAAGGCTGGAGAGGATGGGATGGGGTGTGGGGGAAAAAAACATGATCGAGGAGGAAGAACTTGGAGAAAAACAAACAACTCGATATCTTAACTTTGCTATTTCATATTTCTCATAGTGAATTCATCCACGACGCACATGATTACATCACGACTTAACACATGTTGCCGCACAATTAAATTTCTTCAGTAACAACAAACTATTCAAACAGTGTGAAAAATTTCCTCGTAAAGTTAAAACATTTCTTGTAATTTGAAATTACAAAATAATGTTGTTAATTGACGACGGTTCATTTCTGCTCCTCGATTAATTCCAAGTTAAGTGATTGTATTTTTTTAATTTCAAGTTGTACTCTGGAAACTTGGATGTGAGACAGTCTAACACCAAATGGTGTTAGGCAAAATACCTCACACCAAACGGTGTGAGGCAAACATACCTCACACCAAATGGTGTGAGACTAGTTGTGCCTCACACCAAATGGTGTGAGACCCTCTGTGTCTCACACCATTTGGTATGAGAAAGTATCACTCCATTTGGTGTGAGGCACAACGAGTCTCACACCATTTGGTGTGAGGCACAACGAGTCTCACACCATTTGGTGTGAGGCACAACTAGTCTCACACCATTTGGTGTGAGGTATGTTTGCCTCACACCGTTTGGTGTGAGGTATTTTTCCTCACACCATTTGGTGTTAGACTGTCTCACACCTAAGTTTCCAGAGTAATTTTACGGACTCACATCATGGAAAATTTTCCCGTAAACTTACGAGTGTTTTTCACAATGAAGTAGGTCAGCAGTAAGTTGGCAGTGTTCGAACATTTGCTTTACTCGTGCCGTACTAGAACACGGGAGCTCCCGCCCGACCCGCGCCGCAGTCGGCGTAGCGCTCGGCGTACCCCCGAGCTCTCAAGCCGTAACAGCGGGTGTCGTGGCCCGAGTGCAACCCGAGTGCAACCCTCTCCCCCCCCTCCCCCCACACACACACACACTGAGTTCCGCACGCCGCTCGCTCGTGGGGCTCGCGGGGCGACCCCTGTTGGTGTTATTACGAATTCATACGTATTCAAGGGCGAGCAAGTTGTCAAAAGGCAATGATAGGTGTGTGCCTGCAATCTAAATGACAATAGGGACAAAGATTTTAGCTTGCCATTTAGAGCGTGGATGGTAAAAATAAATTGCGAACGCATGGCAGTCCGGGCTGGTCTGGTGCATTCCAGTGTCTAGTTACCGCCCGTGTCGTGTCTTATGGCCATGCGTGTCGCAGCGATACAGTATTTCGAAGCCTGTTACGCGAGACGTGGTCTGGGAACAAGCCAGAGCTGAAATGTGCTATGGATCCCATCATCTATATCGGTGCTGCGTGTACCACTCGCTGATAAATTGAGACGTCGGCCTCATTAGAGAGACGGGCGCCCAGCGGGCATACCCCCCCCCCCCTCTTTCACACGCACACACTCACGTGTGCACATAGAAATCCTTTCAGCAGACCTAGCCCACTTAATGCACGCACGGCTCAGCGGCCCCCGGGCGTATCATGTCCCTCTTTCCACGAGTGGGGCCCGCCAAAGTTTAAGAGTGGATGAGAGAGAGAGAGAGAGAGAGAGAGAGAGAGAGAGAGA